TTGTGCGCAAGAAGAAAATATTTGTAACAAATATTTAAAAATAGTAAACAATCATCTCTTGACAATTCACCCAATAACAGGCTCGGACAGGAATGGTGTAACTTTATATGATGCAACTGACCACGCATATAATTTTTTTTCTTTACAATTTGACTACAACTTTTTGATGTTTTAACAATTGAAATGCAATTAAAACATTTTTACTTTATGAATAATTTTCAATCGTTGATCTTTTCTCAAGTTTTTAAGGCTTTAAATAAAATAAAAAGTTAAAAATAACAATTGTTTACTTTGTATAAATTAAATGTCATATTTAAACTTCTTTTTCAGTAAGCATCTATTTTTTATAAATTTAAACGTTTTAAACTATTTTTCTGTCTTTCAAAAAATCTTTTAAAAGATTAATTTTTTAAACTACTTTAAATTATGAGTAAGTTAAACTGAAATCTTTCCGTTGGAGCGGAATGATTTAAATGCTTTATTTTTTTGTTTTTATTTTTACAAAGAATTGTTTATAAACTTATAAATTGTTATAAACTAACTATTCAGAGTATGAAAAAGATTAAAAATTACTATTTTAAATAGACAACTTTATTATTGTTTTTTTTTTAACTTTTTGAAAAAAATGTATATACAATTTAAACATATTATATTTTTTTCTTTTCAATAACTTTATTTTACTTAATTGTTCATTTCTTAAACAATCATTAGAAGTAATTGTTAAAAGCGTTTGTAAAAGTAATTTGTGAAAGCGTTTTGCGTAACTTTAATAAAATGTTTCAAAAGGTTTAAAGTAATTTATTTGCAAAAAATGATTTTCGCATTGAGTTTAAGTTTTATTTTAAAGCTTATATACTTTTTTTTTTTCCATAAGAAAATGTTTTCTTTTTTCTTTAGTTTTTTTTATTTTTTTCCTTATTTAGTTTTAGTTTAGCATTTCTTTTTCATTTCTGAAATGTCTAAAACATCTAAACAGTCATGGTCAATTTGCAACAACAAAATCATTTGTTATCAGCAATAGCATTTGATCAAACGCCATTCCTGTCCAAGTCTGAACAAGTGTTTAAGCAGAATGTGCCTTCTCTGCTGCGAGGCTCATCGCCACAAAATTAAGAATGATATTAAGTGACAGAAGTATAGATGATTTATGCTTCTTGCGAGCATATTTTCAAAAAGATGATACATTGAAAATAATGTGATTTATTTTGTTTTTAAAATAAACTAATTTTATTTTTATTACTTATGTATTATTATTATATTTGTATTTATTTTAAATAAATTTTTACTACAAGTGTATTATTAAGCAGTCTAAACTAAAAATATTAAAACATGTTTTCAGTTCAAAAATTTATTGAACTCTATGTTAATATTGTGAATTTCAAAAAAGTTTTTAAAATGTCCAAAATTACTGTTAATTTACCGGTTAATTGGTAAATTACCGGTAAATTAAAAATGAAATTCTACAAAACTTTGCTCATGCAATCCCTAGTTGCATGAGCAAAGTCTTGTAGGATTTCGTTTTCAATTTTAGGTGAGAACCACTGTTGCTTTTCAGGACAATTCAACTATTTGTTCAATTCCAGAAAATCGTATGCTTATAGTTTTAGAAGTACGCTAAAGTTTGAACTATTTTTACCCTTTCTACGAATAGAAAAGTCTTGCGTTCCCACCACGTGCTCACAAAAACATTTTGCAAATGTTTAGTAAACATTTAATGGTAGCTTGAGTAATGATTGTATCAACAAAAACTTTTAAAAAACATTCATTTTAATAGAAAGATTTATTTTTTATTATTACAAGTTTATGTAACACCTTTTATACTAGGGAAAAGCATGAAAGTTTTTTATAGTATTTTACATAAAATTCAATAGGTCAATAAGTTGATAGGCAATTATTTGAAGAAAGCTTTTAAAAGAATTGCATAAAAATTATTTTATTACATTTTTGTGAGCTAACATTATAAGTAAACACAAAATAAACATTTAGAAATTTATCCAGATTTGGGCTGTTACATTTAAACTTGTAAAAGATTTTTTTTTTCTAAGATAAATTATTTATTTAAATAACTTATACAAAAAAAGTTTTTAGGGCGATTGTTGAAAACGGTAAAACATTTCATTAAGATTTAATAAAAACCAATTTAAAAAAAAACGTTTTATGAGACCCTTAAAAAGCATTCAAAAATCGTTTTGAAAAATGTTCGGTCACCGTTTCATTTGGACATTCAAAAAATCAATAAAAAACGTTATCACTGGACCTTTAAAAAAACAATAAAGAAGAAAAGTTTAGTTTTCCAGTAAACTAACTAATATGATTGATAATTAATCTAAATTTTTCATAAACAAAATGCAGGAATTACCAAATAAAAAAGAGTTGTATTTATTTTAGATAAAGCAATACGATTATCTATCATTACTTTTTCTTTTAAAGGTGATTAAGTTGCTAAATAACAATCTATACTGATAATGCTGAAGCAGTCATACTAATGGATGCCCTGTGAAGTTCAGATTGCTTGTGAGAGACAAAAACTTTCTTCTAATTAGAAAATCCATTTAAAATAAATGCTTCATACAAGTCTTTTTCTCTTGAATGACGAGGTAAAGCCATTTTGATATGGATAACTTTGATGCAGGTTGAACAAAACACTTTCTCTTTCTCACAGTCATGTAAAATCCATTTATGTTTTTTTTTTTCCAACTTTGATGAAATTTTCTCCTTTTTTTAATGGACATAATGGCTGTTATGAACAAGAAGGTTCAGCCTGCTATGAAAAGATGGAGACTCAACAATAGGGTTTGAATCCATCATCAGACTGAACAAACTGTCATAAGTATTTTCACAGAGGTTATTACCATTTTCAGATTCAGAGCAAAATGCAATTTTTTCAATTTGCTTTTCTTTTCTTGAAAAGTATTCACTATTTTTCTTCATTTTACAACATACAACTTATTACTTTGAAGTCAATGTACTGTTAAACAATTCAAAAAATTTATTTAAAAAAACTGTGTTTCTTAATTATAATGGAAAAGAATTAAATATAAAGAAGCTGCAGATGTGCCAAAGTTATCCTTTCTGAAAGCAAGAAAAAAATCTAACAACACCAACACTTAACTCAAAAATCAGCTTTTTAGTTTTTGAAGTTATATGTGTTGTTTACATGTTACATTTTTAGTGGTCTCAAACTTAAATGAGACTCGTCAGAAGTGTCAAAATCTCTGAAATTTCACAAAATAATTTTTAAACGAGCTTGAACTTTTAAAAGAACTTGCAGAAATATTTTTATTACTTTAAATTATTCTTTTTGTTCATGTTTAAGTATATTAGGATTCTCATTTTTTATTAATTTTTCAATGCTTGATACAATTTACCGGGTGGGGCTGAGCCCCAGCGACAAATTCTGGATAGTGCCTGAAACCCAATACTCTAACATGTTCTACACCTATGCATTGTATTGTATGCTTTGTTTTTCTAGTTTTGCCTGATGATTTATTAAATAAATTAAAATATTAAAGTTTAAATCATAATTTAATAATAATAATAAAATTAATAATATAAATAACATTAATAATATAATTTTATAATGAGATTTTATATTAATTTTAAGATCAAGATAAATTTTTTTATCGAATTACAACTATTGAGTTTAGTTAAAAACAGAGTTTACAGTTTTCAAAAAATTTAAATTCCAGAAGCATTTCCAGATATCGTAATTTGCTATCACTTAATTCAAGCCTTGATAATATAGTTATTATATAGTTATAATAATATAGTTATTAATAGTAAAGACGGATATATAGATATATACAGAGAGCTTTTCCATAAATTTACATAATCTAAATTTAAGAGCATTAGCTATGCTTTAGTCCAATTAAGAACACCGCCTAAATCACCATGGAGATTTCTAATACTGATGTTGATATCACGTGGATTTGTTTTATAAAAGATAGAACTGAAAAAAAATTAAAATGATTGTTGATGCAGTTAAAAAGTAGTATTGGAAGCCTAGTACCAATTAGAATACTTATTAGAACTCCACTAACAACATCAATCCATTCCAAAGTTATCTAAAAACTACACATTGCGTTCACTTAGGTAAAAAGGAACTTATCTCCCGATTGATTTTTAGGGAATAATTCTTTGGAACAGATATACCTATAATCAGTTTGTTTGGAGCAAAAGTTTGGAGCAGCCATTTCAAAAGTCTCAAAAGTTTCAAAAGCTCTCATTGAGATTATTCATATTTATATTAGATAATTAATTTAAATATCTTCTATTAGTTATTAATTATAATTTAAATATCTTCTATTAGTTATTAATTATAATTTAAATATCTTCTATTAGTTATTAATTATAATTTAAATATCTTCTATTAGTTATTAATTATAATTTAAATATCTTTTATTTGTTATTAATTATAATTTAAATATTTTTTATTTGTTATTAATTATAATTTAAATATCTTCTATTAGTTATTAATGCTAAGTATTAGTTAATAAGAAAAAGAAATTAATAAAGGAGATAAGGATTTATAAAAAGTGTTTTTAACTTTAATACAAAGAATTAACATTAAATAACTACTTTTTTTTTTTTTTTTTAAAAAACATTGTTTTAAAAATATTTGTCTTTTTAAGATTATTAAGGGACTCCAGAGCATGTGTTTGTATTGAAAAAAGTATTTTAAAGATTTTAAGCTAATTTTTTTTAAATAAAAAGCATTAAATGCATACAAATTAAAACTAACCTTGCTGTTTTAGTAGAAACTTGCTTTTTACCATTTTAGTCTCATCTTGAAGCTTTTGAAAAACATGTGCTTTTCTATGAATTTAATAATTCCTTTTAAGTGTATTTAATTTTAAATGTTTCAATATTTGACATTTTTGTAGAATTGAAAATTGTTTGTTTGTTTGTTTGTTTACATTTTTTTCAATATAAACACAATATGTTGGGAGTCCCTTTTAATTTAGTAATGTTCAATTTACTATTAAGAAAATAATATATACCTCCCAAACATAAGCTTTGTTTTCTCTTGCATGATACTCTTTTTCATTAAGAGCTTCACCCACCATTTTACCAAACAATGAGCCTGCTTCAAAAACACTTAACGCAAAGACACCAAGACCAGCATTTGGTATTGAAGACTCTTGAATTATCATACCAGATGGCAGAGAAAGCACAGCATTAGTTTTTTTTAACTTTTCCATAGGATTGCCATGGGTTTTACATTTCCCACTTAAGCAATTATTGCAAGAAAAGCAAACTATATAAAAAATAATTAAAAACTGTGAAATAAATTTTTATATAAACAAAAAACAACAAAACTGACACAAGTTAAAAAATTATGAGATAAATTATAATATAAATAACTTTAATTAAATTCATTATTTAAATATAAAAAATAAAAATAAAAAAAGAAAGAAAAAGAGAAATTTGACATTTGATTTTTAGAGAGGTTTTAAAAAAATGCAAAATTAGAAGACACAAAATTTGAAATAATTTAGTTTTTAAGACATTTATTGATTTATATCTATGTCTATTAAAAACAACTTTTTTTTTGCAAACAAAAAGCAAAAAGAATAAATAAATCTAATTATGCATTTTTGACACCAACAAGTGGATAACTTTTTAAAAAAAAAATATCAATATTAAAATATTATGGACAATACTAAAAAAAGCAAAATAAATATGCAATGGAGAAAGTGTATATACAATAGACTGATGATTTAGGATGTGAGCAGGTTTCTACGTATGGAAGAGATTTACTACAAAAATACAAAATGATTTATTCTTTTTCTTTTTTCATCATTTTCTAAAAGTTTAGCACTCAAAAACCTAAAAAATATGCGCAAAGACCTAATTCAAGCAACTTAACAAATTTTTAAGTTATTTCAATCTTACAGTAAGGTTCTTAACAAAATTGTTCTTTTCACTAATAATTTCACCCACTACAGACAAAATAACTTACAACTTCACCCGCTACTTTCAAAAAGACTATTTTAACTTGTTGGATATTTTCCATTATAAACATAACCTTTCATTATGAAACGAAAATACAAACAAAGATTAAAGACAACAATGAATTGTTTGATCAAGAGTTCAAAAATCTTAAAAGAAAAAAGCAGCTGTGGTTATTCAGATATTCCATCAAAAGTTATTAAAAAGTCATATGGTTCATTCACTGATCCAATAATGACTATATTCAACAAATGTCTAGAAACAGGTAGTATTCCAAATGAATTTAAAATAAGTAGTAATATGCCACTTTATAAACAAAAAAGTGAAACTCATGATATCAATAGTTATCAAAGAACTGCTATATTATCTCCACTAACTTATTATATTATCTCCACTAAAAAAAAGTCTTTGAACAATAATTGCTAAAAGAATAACTGGATACTTTGAACCAAATGATTTTTTTAATGATGACCAACATGGTTTCAGATGAAATCATTCATGTGAAACTGCATTGCATGTTCTTATCTCTAAAGTAAATTCTAAAAAACTCTTTACATGATTAAGATTTATTGATTTCAGAAAAACTCTTGATTTAGTAGATTCCTAATTACTGATTTTTGAAGCTAAAACAGAAGTTTTTTAACAGAAGCTATTCAACTTTTGTAAATATTTTCATAATAGAAAAATATTTACTAAAGTTAAAGATTTTATTCTAACAAAGAACAAGTTGATATTGGTATACCATAGGGTTCCATTTTAGGACCTCCTTTTTTTTTTTTGGATTTTCATCAATGATGATAAATTGCTGGGATCTCTACCATACTTAATAATCATAGGAGCACTATCACAAGTTGAGGCAACAGTATATTTCTTAAAAGAAATGTTAAATTTTGACTTCAGCTTCAACTTTTGCGGCAAATTTGAAATAGAAATTCAGCTTTCAGTTAAATTTGATAATATTTCACAATTAAGAAAATTTCATTCAACTTTCAGTTAAACTTAAAAGTTATTAATTTTTTTTCAATTAAAAAATAAAAATAGTTATAAAACATATTTCATATTTTATGTATATTAACCTGTTTCTCTGTACAGCTGCCTTGTTTATCAAGGTTCATGTTTTGGAGTTAAAGAGTTGTGAGGAGGTTTAAACCACCTTAAAAAAAAGAAAACATATTAGATATAGATTTGTCTTACAAATGTCAATAACCAAAAAGTCTACTTTAAATGCAAAGTCTATTCGCCACTTATTTAATCATATTTATCGCTTTGAAAAATCCTCAATGTAAAAAACAGGTGAATATTTAATATAACAATCTTTTTTCTTTATAAGATTGACATTCAAAATTTTTCAAAGAATATTGTAAATGATCTTGTTTATGTAATTAATTTTTTTATGTTTATGTATTTAATTTTTTTTTTTTCAGCAAAAATTGTTCTTATTTTTAGTAAGCATACATTTTTTGTTTTCTCTTTTAATTAAATATTTTTTTTAAAACCAAAATTTGGATTTCAGTTAAATTTGGCGTACACATATGGCAAAATTTTTTTTTCTCAACACCCATGTCTATTCTGTGAAATACTTTTATAGCCAAAAGACAAACATAATCAGTTTTTTACATAAATGGCATTAAAAATGGTTAGAAAATGGGTCTAAACTTAGTCAGGCCAATTTTAAAACAGCATTTATCTTCCAATTCTTACTGGAGATCCTGATGAAAAATCATTGAGATAATCTTTCCTAGACTAATATTCTACTTGGTTTTGTTGACAAAGTTATTTTTGAAATTGAAATAAATTTGTTTAAGAACAAAGAAGATGGTTTAAACTTTATGACAGCTTATCTTAGGTCCTGGTATTTATGGCTCCAATTTTAAAGTAAAAATCTGTGACCTTTTTTTGTTATGTTATTAAAAATTTCAAGTGGTTACTTTATTTTCATTATTTATTATAACATGATAAATAAAAAAATTAATTATATTTAAAAAACTGCTGAATTAGTCAATAAGTTTTTTAACTTCAAAATTAGTCAAAATCAGATTGTGCATCTAGTAAATACATCCGAATTATATGCACACAATTTTTTAAAGAACTGTAACTTTTTATTGACATCTGCAACAAGGTTGTTGTAGCAAATAACATTGGTTACAACACAATCCTTGCAGTCACAATACAAAGTCTGTTAATGATCTTACCATGATGTATAGTGACTTTTACCAGCTATAACTCACTGATGTACAAAGCACTATTATTGACAACATAACTAGTTGTCAATAATAAAGTTGCAACAAACCATGCGACAATTACTAAGTTAAACTTTGTTCAGTAGAAATCATTAAATTAACTAAACTATCACCTTTACCTCTGGACACAATGACCAGTGCTTGCAAGTCTTCACTTAAAGCATTATAGACCTCTAAAAGAAAACTTTTTGGAAAAGACTCCATTGAAGTAAAAGATATTTTACAGCTGAACAAACTTCACTACAAAGATGGTATCATCTTAATCCTACTTTTTTATTAAATACTTTTTTAATTATAGTAAAAATTTTTATTAAAATTTTTTTTATTAAAATATAATTTTTTATTAAAATGTAGTTGTGTGAATTATGAGTTTTATATCTAAAACAGATTTTATAATTACTTTTTGATGCTAGAAAAAGCCAGTTTGCAAATAAACAATGTCATTAAAAAATAATGTTAGAACTTAAAAAGTATATGGCAGACAAAATTCAGATAAAAGGAAGACAAAGAAAAGAAAAAGATTTATTTGTCACGTGTAGTTTAATAATGCCACCATGGCAGACTTCTTAGCATTAAAAAGAAAAACAGTACTGTATATATAGCGTCTTATTGGAAACCAAATGAGATTGAGGATGATATTGTAGAGTATGAGATGAGCAAATTTCAACTTTATGCAGAAATAGATGGTAATATGGCCATATCATAAAGAAATGGAGTGTGAATTGATTGAAATAAGTTATGTTATTTTAAATAATAATATGGTTAGCAATATTTTTTTGATCCCTAAGGTATATATTATGCCCACACTGTTTTTTTTTTTTTTTTTGCAAGTTTATGAAAAGATTTATAATTTTTTCATTCATTGTTTGTATATAACTAATCTTACGTCAGGTAGTCAGATAGTTACCTGAAATGATGACTACCCTGAAATCAGTTTTTCTTTTATATTTATTTCTGGTAACAAACATTGGAGGATTCACTTGGTTCTATTGATGTTTCTGTTTTAAAAATACATCAGAAGTTATTTTGATTTATTTGTAACCCATAAATTATTGGATTTTTCATTAATTTTAAATATCTCATATTTTTTATCTATCATTACAAGATTTTAACTCACAGCATAAATTATACTTATTTAGAGATTTTTTTTTTAGATATCATTGACAGCTCTCGGAAATAGGAAAAATAAAGTTAGCAATAACTTGCCAACATTTGTTAGAAGTCAGCATCAGGTCAGCAAAAAAAAATTTGATACAGAGGTTTTATGATAATACATACAAACAAGGTCGGTGATTTTTTGACTAACTCAAACAATTTTAGGTCGGCAGTTAGGTCAGCATTGGCAAATGCTAGACCCTAATTCTGAGACCTGCATTGCACAGTGTTAACTCAGCAGGCTGAAAGATTGACTTTTTCTGTCTTTGGATGTGCTTTAAAACTATGACTATTTTTACAGCCGCTAATATCTTAAAAACATTACCAAATTAAATCAGTTTTAGTTTTTTATTTATGAAGTATATTTTAAAAAAATAAGTTTTTTTTTATCCTAATATATGTCTATATATCTTACTGAACATTAAGATTAAATATTTCTCCTAATTAAAAACAATTAAGTATGTATGTCTAAGTAATTAAAAACAATTAAGTATGTATGTCGAAGTAATTAAAAACAATTAAGTATGTATGTCAAAGTAATTAAAAACAAGTATGTATATCAAAATAATTAAAAAACAATTAAGTATGTATGTCAAAGTAATTAAAAACAAGTATGTATGTCAAAATAATGAAAAACTTTTTGTAATATTAATTTAAAATTTGTTTTGGTTTTATTTAAATTATGGGCAAATTAACAATGGAAGTTATATTATAAAACTATTGTTAGCCAAACGCAAAATTCTCAAGTTGTTTGCAGTTTTCTTAAACAAAATGAAATTAGTTACATAAATGGACCTTTGTAGAATTATTTGTTTTTTCAGGAAATTTTCATCATTGTAATACTAAATTAAAGTTCTTTCAATGATTTATAATAATTAAATTTATAAATAGTTTTAAATTTGTAAACATT